TTAAGAAAGAAAATAAACATATGCTTTTCCATATTCTTTGCAGCAAGGCCCACAACATAAAAAGCCTCGAGCAAGAAACTGTGTACATTTAATAACTGCTTAATCTTCTCTCTGAAAGTGCTTTAGAAGGAGATGATTAGAGATAATTTAACAAATTCTTTGTGCCTTCAAGAGCCAGCTAGCCGGAATGAAATGCAGAGAAGAAATACACTGTGAGATCACTGTTACCTTTGCTCTGCCCAGGCAATGAAGGGAATCTGGGGCTACCACGTTACTGTTCTGCACAAGGCTGCAAGACATTGTGGTGGCATTCTGCAGTGCTGTGGCTAACGTGAACAGTGCAGAGGCTGGATGCTGGCTGGGATGCTGCAAACTGCGTAGGATGACCCTTTGGCTGCATTATTACCTTGTTTCTTAGTCAGGCCGAGTAGCCAAGGTGGAGGGCTTGGGGCTACGCTGCTCTGCTGGGTGAGTGGCTTCTGATAAATAATTCTTTCAGAACAGGTTTGGGTGTCTCAGCCAGGCTTTCCCCCAGGCCATATACATTTATGTGTTTAATTTTGGCAACAAGCCATAGATGTTATTAAAAAAACATGCAAGCAAACTTGCTGTCAGCATGGGAGCTGGGAGACAGCAAATGATGTTAGTGAAAGTAATAATGGAGACCATTTTATTCTAGAATTTGTTCCTAGTTTTTATTACGTTTCAAAACACAGTCTAGACTATTATTTAAGTTAAATTTTACTCCATATTCTCTATCTGTCCCCTTTTTGTTACTGTGAACATGATATATTTACAATATACATTTTAGATACTAGTACTTTTTAAACTCAAGGTGTTTTCTCTCTTCCTTTTGTGTTTAACTACAAGTAGTTAAGAGGAAGAGGAGAAAATAGTGAGAGTTCTAATCTAGGAAAGTACTAAAAATACAATTAATTTAGCTTTAGCAGTTTGGTTTTGTACCCAGGATTAATGGATATGTGCCATAAATTGTTTTCGTTTGTGCCTCCTTTTGATACATTAAAAATGGGCATAAACTATTTTCCTGTCTCACAAGATAAATCCATTACTAATCATAGGAATCTGAGATAGTATTGTGATGAATGCTGTGAGAAACTAATCATTCTGGGTGCAGCATAGGCTTGAGAAGATTTGCACTAAATAAAGGAGTGGCCAGAGATTGAAAGAATAGGGCTGAAAAACAGTCTTTTCTGTTAATTCTCATGCAGTCCATGCACTAAACGAGATGGGGACCCTGTGGAAAAAATAGTGATCCATCATGTAATTGTAGACTGTGCACACAGTTAAAGATGCATCCACATAAGGATGCAGAACCGAGGCCCTGCAAATACAAACTGCTTAGTGAAGCTACATGCTAGACATGAACTAGATGACTTTTAAAGGCCCCTTCCATCCCAAAACACTATGAAAGTTTCCGTATAGTATGGTCTAGGGCTGCTGTACAGAAGCTGTAAGGGTATCCTTTTACAGGTCTGTTCACTTCCTCAGGAATTGTCTGGCTTGACATAAAATACATACACAGAGAGATGCACACATGCATAGGCACACACGTGCTTACACCTGTATCTGTCATGAACTACGCAGAAGGAATCTAGATTCCTTCACTGAATTTCCTTCTCTTTACTTAAGCACTGATTTTCACAGCTAAGGTGGATTATGCAACAAGATTGCACATAGAGGAGGGTTTTGTTACCACTGTGAGGAGTAGCCAAGGGATCTGCAATTATGTGGATCGAAAATATAAACCTCTTACACAGGAATGCACAAGAGATCAGCAGCATTCCTAGTGGTAACAGCAGAGAAATGCTCTAAAGTTCCTGAATTAGAGAAGTCTATTTTGCTCTCTCAGTTTTGATTTTGCTCAGCCTGCTTACTGGGGCGATGTAGAGGTAGCCACTCTACCTCAGCTAGAGTGTTGATGCCTATGTCTAATTTTTATGTCAATATTTTGATGCTTTCACTGCTGAATGTTTTAGCAGGCAGAGCCAAATACTCCAGGATTGCAGACTTAGTTTGGAGAGGGAAAATCGTGAGGAGAGACAACAGCTTTCTTTTCATTCTTTATGACTTTTAAAAGATATTAGAATAAATTACTGGTGAGAAGCCTTTAAAATACAGGCTATTAAATTGCTGAAGTATAGATTTTCCCGACTGAAGGATTTTCTGCTTACTTCTAACCTCCCGGATAGTAAATACTGACAAACAAGTGTCACATCATACTTATGCAAACTTTGCAGCAATAATAAGTTGATTTTCACTCTGTCAGCTGCTCAGTGATAATTTCTCAGAATTTATTTTTCAGCTACTGTTCTAAGTTTGCAGAACATGGTGCATCCACATTTCTTGTGTTTTTATTCAGAAGAAATTATCCACATTTCTCATCAAAAAGCATGCTTTTATTCAGAAGAAAGTATCCACATTTTGTGTCAGAAAGCATGCTTTTATTCAGAAGAAAGAGAAAAAATGCATCCAATGAACAGTGTTGATAAAGTAATGAAAAGCATACTGGCATTTTTTCAGTGTGCAGTACATTTTAAATACATTTCAACACCCTGTAACAGTTACATTATATTTAATCCCTGGAAGCAATGTACAGATTTTTAGTTTAAAATCTCATATAATTATTTCTCTTGCTTATTTAATCTAGCATACGACCAATTCAGTCAGGATAATAATCATGAATGAAATGCAGTATCTACAACACATCAAGGCTAAAACCGTGGAAAAACTGTTCAAAATATGTGACTAAAAGATCTCACAAAGAATGAAATTCACTTCTTTTTCAGAGGAACAAAAGGGCATTGTGTTCTACTGAAGTCCTTTAATACAGGGTAAACTATATTCGAAGTGCAGGTTCCCTTGTTGGTCTTACTGTAACACATGAAAATCTACTATCAGTTAAAACTAAACCAAGACTGGGCATACATTAGAATTTAACACAAACTCTTCTTGAGATGATTAACTGTGTAAAACATGAGACCATTTATCCTATTGTTAACTGACAAGTGATTCTACATCTAAATGTCTGTGTTCCCTGCCACTTCTTTGGCATATCACTAGTTTGATGCAGAAACCCTCTTGAATGTGCCTGAGAAATAAATAAGCTACCAGCAGCTACGTAGCCAAATAGCCAGACATGTTCATTGTTCTTGAGGTACAAGGTCATGTTTTAAACTTGGGTGCTGGTGCTGATGTTTACACATAAAGTTCTTATTTGTATGCCTGGATGCAGGTTGAAGAGCAAATATAGAACAGGAAGCTCAAGTTTGCATATAGCTTTTCAGTCTGCTATCTATTTAAATAGAGTGTAAAATAGCTTATAGGCTATTATTTCTACAGTTATTTTTCTATTTGATATCCCCATAACTCCTTAGAGATTTACTGTATTTTGAACTATCAGTAAATGAAGATGTATAGATGAAATCTCAGCTCAACAGAAGGTAGGACTAAAATTCACTAACTTCAACAAGACACAGATATTTTTCTATATTTTTAAACTAGCTAGCTTGATAGATTGCACTGATTTGCCTTGAGGATTATAGGAGGAGACTTGGTTATTCAGAGAGTTACTTGCACTGATCCAGCTACATTGTTGTAGGCTTTTGATTGTCTTGCCCTATAGCTAAAGCATCACATCTTACAAATACGTTCCATTTTCTGCATATGCTCATTCTCTTTATTGGGACTTCATCCATTCATTTTACTTTGATTTCCTACTTGCTCATACATAGAACAGCATTGCCAATGATGTTTAGGGATAAAATCTTGTATCAACAGTGGATAAGGATGTAAATGTTTCATTTCTATACTCTCGTTTAGCTAACTCTAGAGTACTAGGTAGTATTTAGAAGAAAAAGATAGTATCTACATATTTAATCTAGAAGTTATTTCCTGAAACTGCAAGAGGGTAGATTTAGATTGGATATAAGGAAAAAATTCTTCACCATGAGAGTGATGAAGCACTGGAACAAGTTGCCCAAGGAGGCTGTGGATGCCCCATCCCTGGAAGTGCTCAAGGCCAGGTTGGATGAGGCTTTGAGCAACCTGGTCTAGTGCGAGAGATGTGTTGGAACTAGATGATCTTCAAGGTCCCTTCCAACCTTAACCATTCTATGATTCTATGATGATTCTATGATTCCTATCAGTTTATAATGAGTTTATTTTAATGCCTAAATTATATAGTGACAACAATGTATCTTCAAACTAAACAGAAGCTGAATCTTAACCTATATGTCCTAAATATATTTTGAGAAACACTATGCTAAGTAGTAGGCTCGTCTATGGTTTATATCTCAGTCATGTAAGTAACACACAGCATTGACACTATTTTACTATGACTCTTAGTCAAGAAGTACTTATAAAATGGTCAAATAACTCTTAGACAACAGTATCCTAGCATTAATACAGCATGGAACAAGAAACCTCAGCCATAATGGCACAAGGCTGTACATGTCAGTGTAGCTAACGCTATTGCAGTTGAAGGGGCGGTCAGCAATATGTTGTCTTCTCTGCTCACTTTTGATTTTCTGTTTTCACAAGAGAACATTATCACCAAAGGAAGCATTTCTTTTCAGGATACTGCCCTCCTCAGAGTGGCAGTCTCCAGTGTTTGATAGAGTAGATCCGGAGTAAAACCTGTTCCAAGGGTTTGTTGTCCTCTGTATCCTTCATAGACCCAAACAAGTCTTTTTGGGTCTAGCTAATTGAAGAACTATGTTTACATGAACTGTCACCAATGTGGGAAAGAACTGGAACATGATAACCTTAACTTTAGCTTATATTCCCATAATTTTTATTTCTCACATAAATGGCAATACGAATGTCATACAAAGCAAGGGAAGACAAAATCTTGAAATCCTTAAAAAGGTTAATTGTACATTTAGAATGGTGTGATCAATTAACTTGTAATTGTCTTTAGTTACTTGCTTTCACATCTGGGAAGTCGAAAATAGATTTTGATCTTCAGTGAAGCTTCTGCATCACTCATTATCATAGATGCAATCTGAAATGGAAGTAAAATGAACAATATTTGTATTGTGTAGTTCTTCAACTCAAGGATGAAGTAACTTGGTGTAATTGAATACAGTTATTGTCTGAAGTGTTCAACATACCATCACAAACATCATCGTAAATCACTCCCTCACTGTAGGTTAGAAAAAGAAAAATAATATATTTAGAAATTGAGACATCAGATATGTATTACTATTTGCATGCAGATACAAAATAGTGTAGCAGTATGGTGCAGATATACTATCAAGTAATTCATCTGCTAATTGGGAAGCTGCAACCTTTGTGCTAACAGAATAGTGTCAAGCAAGATGAGCAGGTCAAAGGATTTTTACTGAAGGGCAGAGCTGGATATGTTTCATTCTAACAAAGGCTTGCTTTGTTAAAAGGTTTTGTCTCTTTTTTTTTAAAAAAGAAAGGTTTTAAGTAGCTATTCTAGCAAACTCATAGAGCTATTTCCATCAAAAATCAAATACATACTGATTTTTTAAAAGAAAAACGGAAAATATGAGTAGGAAAAAAATCACTATGCCCTTGAAATTTTTATTTATTTCTGTACTTGGCAATGCCATAATGGTTTTGGAGAAGCAGCTTTTTAGACACTGAATTTAGGCAATGTCTATACATGATACATGCTCTGTGAGTAGGGATTTCCAAAATATGTCACTTAGATACATGAATAGGCCCTTGAAAGCCAATAAGCCTATTTATATGTAAGAAATGGAAAGAGTTTGTCTATCAAAAGTTTTGGATTAGATCCTAAATGCTAAACTCCAAGCAATTGCATGGGGCAACGCTGAGCCAAATCTTCTCAATACCAGTAAGACTAAAATAAAAATAAAGCTAAATAAAAATCAATCCATTTTAGATAAACATTTGAAAATGTCATCAATACACTTAATCCCATTAATGTTTAGTACGGTAATATAGTACCAATAATGCTTAATTTTTGTATTTTTTCATGCTTTAAACCAGAGTTTATGATTAAGCAATGAGCAATTAGGCCCTAGAAAATTTCCAGCATGGATGTATATGACTAATTCTTGATAAATCTAAACGCCATAAAAATAACTACATTTATAGGACTAGAATGACATACTAAAATAATTACATTTCACTTTTATTTCACAGTTAAGAACAAAATTGAGTGTTATAAATTTTTCAGGAAGATCACTTTATACTTACTTCTCAACTAAATTGCTTCTCAGAACATAGCCATCTGTAAAATTGAAATATGTGTTCAAGTTAAATTTAAATATTCATGTTAATTCTTATGTTGCTAGCACCAGTGAAATGCTGTTTTTCTCTTTCAGGTATTTCAAACAGAAAAAACAAATAGATGGATAACAATGTACAATGAATATGTACTCAAGGAAGATTTTGCTATGTCTAGTTTTAGATTTAATTTCTCTTCTTTCCTTGTTTAGTATAATGTAGTGCCTTAGACAGGAAACAAGAATGCTACAGTAGCTGCAAGACTAGTTCTATGTCTACTGTGCCTGGTACTTTACGTATTTATAAAATGTTATTTCTCTTGTTTCATTGCAATAGTTTTCATTGTCTACAAAACCAATGCTGAGAGGAAGAAACAGTAATACAATTTATGCAGGATTATGTTTTCATCTTATATTTTAGTTTCCTGGTCTAGTGAGAGGGATGTGAAACAACATCTATTACCACAAAATATCGTATAGTTCACAAATTATAGCCCAAAAACATAGCATAATATTAACTGCATAATAATAAATAACAGAAATGTGTATTGTTTCCTACAGGGACAAAACTGTCTTTGAAGATGTATACACCAATTAACTATGATTAACTGTAGTTGCTTAAAATTTTTTAACTGCATCATATTGGTAAGAACTGCATATACAGATAATGGAAATACCTTAGAAAAGCTACTCACTAGTGAATTATTCTGTTACTCTGTTGCGTTACTGATTCAATCAGATAAAACTACACATATTCTTCTTCAATATATTTATTCTGTTAGAAAAATTACTTGCCATCTTTGGTAAAAGATATCTACTGAAATACTTATCAATTGGTAGAGCATCCACAAGCAAAGGGAAAGCCACAAAATAATTACATATTTGTAGTTAAAATTAGTGTATTGGTACAAAATGGCAACAGTTCTAAAGGAGAAATGTAACTTTGTGTTATATTTGAAAATACTATACAAGCCTCCTTCTTTTATTCATTAGGAGGCTTAAATAGTCACATTAAAATGATAGGTGTTTAGTAATTCATACACAATTCATAGGTTTTAGAATAAAAATGTTAGCTTGACTTACAAAGTTCCTTGAATTCTTGGAGCTGCTCCATGTACTTAGAGGAACCATTGTACAGTACAGAAAATATCAACTTTCTGCTAGTGTTTCTGGTGGTGATCCTTCAGGTGAGTCTAGCTGAATCCCCAGATCTTACTGGTTTACCTTAAGGAATTGTTTCCTCCTTCACGTGATTTTTTCTTTTGTGATACACGAGATGTGAAAGTATATTTTCTTTTCTTCAAATGCACAGTAATGTCCAGCTAAAGAGTCTCATATTTTGTGTTAAGCCCTTTTTACATACAAGCCCTAATATTATTCTAACATTTCTAGATCTATAACTTACTAGTATAGGAAACATTCCCTTGTAAATTGTCATCAGAAACAATGAGCTAGTACTGTTCCCAAAAGCTGCTGATTTATCTTCATCTCCAACTGGCCAAGATTTTGATAAGAAAAATATCCTATGATTCCTGTATGGAGTATGTGAAGAGTTACATGGCAAGACTAATATCCCTAACAGTCCTGCAAATACCAATTCTTATATATAGCTTTTCTTCGTAAGGAAACATTTGCATAATTCATTTTAACATAGTGTGTTTCCATCTTAAAGTAGGTAGATATCAGAGATTGCTGTAAATCTCAAATGTAAATAAGTGGGATTCTTTTTCCTGAATATGATAGATATAAAACAGATAAGCAATTTACTCTTTGAAGGCCATAATTCTTTAAAAACACTGCATTTTTAAAGAAAATTTCTATCTTTTGAAAGAGATGAAGGTTGCATAGAAAAGCATTAATTTAATAATATTTTATTTGACACTAATCTGCTTTAGCTTCTGTTGAAGACTTAACAGTTACATGAGAACATCCCTGAGGAGTACTTGGGAATACTGGTGAAAGAAAAGCTGAACATGTGCCAGTGATGTGCAATCACATCCCAGAAGGTCAGTCACTTTCTGGGCTGCATCAAAACAAGCGTGGCCAGCAGGTCAAGAGGAGCAATTCTGCTCTTCTACTTTGCTCTCATGAGACCCCAGCTATAATACTGTGTTCAGCTCAGGGACCCCCAGAGTAAGAAACACATAGATCTGTTGGAAATCCAACATCGATCTGTTGGAGCAAGTCCAGAGGAAGACTACGAAGATGATCAGAGGGCTGGAGCACCTCCGCTATGAGGACAGGCTGAGAGAGTTGGGCTTGTTCAGCCTGGAGAACAGAAGGTTCCAGGGAGACCTTACAGTGGCTTTCCAGTACCTGAAGGGAATCTGTAAGAAAGGCGGAAGCAGTCTTTTTAGTAATGCCTGTTGGGACAGGACAAGGGACAATGGTTTCGAACTAAAAGGGTGTAGATTCAAACTGGATATAAGGAAGAAAATTTTTTACAATGAGGGTAGTGGAACACTGAAACAGGGTGCCCAGAGAGGTGGTAGAAGATGCATCCCTGGAGGCATGCAAAGTCAGGGAGAAGGGGGCTCTGAGGAACCTGATGTAGTTGAATATGTCCATGAAGATGTCCATAGAATCCTAGAATCTTCTATGATTCTATGAATGAAAAAATAGTTCTGTTAATTTGCTACTTGATTGCAGCTATGCAAGATAAAATTTGCCTAATTTGCCTGTAGCTATATTTTCAGGGTCACGAAGATTTCATAGTTAAATTCTATTATAACTTTTGCCTGCTAAAAAAGTTAAAATGCAGGTGATCTGTAATAGCCAAAGAATGCAGTGCTGCAGATTTTCAGTCACCAGCTGATTGTAAGTCAGTACACACAGGGAAAGCTCTGTCTATTCAGGATATTCTTAGCCTAGTTGTCTTTTGTCAGATTTTATTATCTGGGATAAAGCCATGGAAATTGTTTTATTTTTTTTTCTTTAGAGATGTTATTTATTAAATTCTCTTTAAGAAGAGCCCGATAATTTCCAGGATTCCTGAAGTCTCCTAGGAATGATTTAAATCATTTGGCTAATCTAACTTCTCTGTTTCTTCTTTTAATTTTCTCATGTGAAATAAATGAACACAAAATTTCTTTGCTTATAGTCATGGCGTACAGTGTGCCTGCAAGCCAGATGGGCACATGACAATCCTCCTACCACTGCAAATCATAATCTTGGTTCTTCTGATGGTCCTTAGCCCCTAAATAAGTAAAAAAAACTTACTATTCCAGTTTCAGTTTCTAACTAATTTATTCATATTTATGTGGCTTCCATAGTAGGGAACAAAGCAGCAGGTCAGCACACTCCATCTTGATTACTTAAGACCACTGAAAACTATGACATACTGGGCCAGCTGCTCTCTGCCAGTGCAAAGGAAAACTGAAGAGCACAAACATTTTCAGACACCAAAGTCTATTTATATTTTAATCTTTAAGCAAAACCTATGAAAACGAAGATTTCTGTATATTTCAAAAGGTACATGGGATAGATCAAAGCAAGAGTAAGAAGGAATTTGTGAAGGCAAATGACAATCAGTTCCTTGTTTCGCTTTTGAAATTTCAAATAATTTCTTAAAAAAATAGAATGTGTGATAGCAGAATACATTCCTAAGATCACCAGCCCTTGCTTGAAAAGGTAGGAAGACATTATAATTTGTAATTTTATTTAACTGCTGCTAGAGGCATGAAGCTATGGAAGTGCTTCATAACTTAGCAGTCAAATGGAAGAATTCATGTGCAAGAAAGTAATAAAAACATATTTATTTGTTCATTTTCAGTCTATCTGTTTTCACTTTATCTTCAAAAGGTTAAATCATTGCTTTAAGATATGAGAAACTAGAGCAACTAGAGCAAATAACCAAAACTGTCATGCACTTAACTAAAGTAGGATTGAAACTTTACTAATTAATGTGAAAATTGACAGAGATCTATTCAGAGGTTTTCAAGGAGGGTATTTTTATTTGTTTTGCTTCTTTATGCATAGCAAAGCAGTAGCTCCTGTCACTAGTTGAAAGGCTTTGAAGGCTATGTGAGGAAAACAACCAACATGAACTACTTTCTACTTTGTTATTAGCTTGTTTCAAAAAATGCAGTACTGAAAGCTGCTCTTTGGGAAGTGGCTACACCAGTGCAATCCATATTTTGAAAAACATATGAGTTGTTATGAAAGAAATTCTTCCTTACCCTCCAGGCCTGCCAGGAAGAAGGTTACACTCCAGACTTTGACAGTTGGAAGGGAAAAAATAGAAGTAAAGAGGCTGAATCCCCTTCACAGTTTGATGACATTGTACCCTCTTCTACATAGGTCAAAGGTAAAACGCAAAGGGTGCCGATAGATTGAGCATAGTCCATTCCTACACAAAGTGAATTTTCTTTACGAGATTTTAAATGTGTTGTAACAGGAGCACATTAAGAAATTGAAAGCAGCAGTAGATGGTCCAGACTTCTGCAAAAATGCCAAAACTTCTGCAAATGCACACCCTGGCCGTGGGTTTCAAAGAAATACTGAAAGGCCTTGTGCAGATCCCAAAGCAAGCAGGCATGCCAATGAGGGTATATGCCCTGGATCATCTCGGGGCTGAGGGGAAGACTCCTAAGCAGTTTCTCCCCCAGCCTATTTAGAACATCAGACTACACCTCTGGCAGCTGAAAATAAGAATATTGTTACTGATTTTCCCTTGGCTGCACTCAATGAACAAGTGCTTCCAAGAGCTGTAGCAAGGATCTACCTTCTACTAGATTCTGTGGAGTATCATAGCTTCTTTAGACAGACAGAGAGAGATAGAAGCAACAAAAACATCTGCTAACCTTTGCAAGATTTATATAACTAAGTTGCCCCTTTTCACACATTTAGTATATCTTTTCCATTGGAGTTTTCTTCCTTTTTTTTTTTTTTTTTAAGGCACACTGCTCTTAGAATGCAATAATACAGTAACAACAGAAAAAGATCTGGAGGTGCTGGTCGACAGCCGGCTGAGCATGAGCCAGCAGTGTGCCCACGTGGCCAAGGAAGCCAACGGCTGTGTCTAGCAGGAGTAGGGCAGTGATCATGCCCCTCTACTTGGCATTGGTGAGTTCACAGCTAGAATTTTGGGCACCACAGTGTGAGAAAGACATCAAAGTGCTGGAGTGGGTCCAGAGAAGAGCAACAAATCTGGTGAGGGGTCTGGAGAGCAAGACTTACGAGGCGCAGCTGGGGGAACTGGGATTGTTTAGTCTGGAGAAGAGAAGGCTGAACGGAGACCTTACTGCTCTCCACAACTACCAGGGAGAAGCTTGTAGTGAGGTGAGGGTTGGTCTCTTCTCTCAAGTTACTAATGATAGCACAGGAAGAAATGGCCTCAAGTTGCACCACAGGAGGTTTAGATTAGGTATTAGGAAAAACTTCTTTACTGAAGGAATGGTGAGGTTATTGGAACAGGCTGGCCCGGGGAGGGGGGGGGGGACCATACCAGGGAAGTGGTGGAGTCACCATCCCTGGAGGTGTTCAAACACTTTGGAACATGGTTTAGTGGTCATGGTAGTGTTGAGTAGATGGTTGGACCTCATGATCTTAGAGGTCTTTTCCAACCTTAATGATTCTATGATTCTATGAACAGTCTACTTCTTGTCAACCACCAGGCAAGGAAAAATATGAGTACTAGCCTCTGCTTTAATATGACAAGTAGGGGGGTTTTTTTACACACCCTGACTCAATCATTCTCTGATGACTTTGATTTATACTATAACTTTTAAATAAAACTTACATTTTCCTTCTTCATTCCTGCATAGGACCTTGGTATCATCTGTACTCTCTATAATTTCAAGAGACTCTCCTGCTTTAACTTGTAAGTCTTTAGATCCCCATCTTCTCTGGGGCAAATCCTGGATTGTGGTGGTAGAGTAAAGAACTTTAATTTCACCGTCAAACTGCATAAACAAAATAAAGAGATGCTAGTTAAAAATCATCAATGTAAAGCTTACAATTATGCATTTCTTTGACCATTATTTTCCCATTTATTACTAAATTTTTGAAGATAAGGCAAATAATTGTTTACACTATGTAATATGTGCCCATGCTTGTAATATGGACTTACAAAGGTTCAGATGACTGTTTTTACAGGTAGTGCTAATTTACCTTTCAAAGGCAAAATAAGGGATATAAATTAGAGAACACCGTATAGATATTTTAGTCTTTGTATTTTGTACGAGCAAAACTTAGTTTCAACAAAACTTACTTTGAACTTTTTTCTGAACTCCTTTTCTTCTCTTTCC